TGACTACCATTCCTGACTTGGAATGACTCGATAGCTGATTGTTGGCAAAGTGCAGTGTGTTTGCTAGTTCAGGCCAGCAGACAGACAACAAATTATACCTCAGATTGTCATTTGCACTAGAGAGTATGTACTTGCAAAACAATGACTGGTAGTCTTGTATGATCACATTGTAGGTTTGGGAATCATTTACTGAACTTTAACCAGTTAATGATTTCTTTGCAAAAATTGCGGTACTCTAGTGTCTTTTTTTTATATATATTAATTTTATATAATACATTTTTTATAGTTCATCTGTTTAAAAATTTTTGCAAATAATTTGATTTAAGAACAAAAACCAGACCCTTCTGTCTGCATATAATACAGTGCAGTGAGTTCAAAGGTGTGTTCTACTGTGCAAGAAGACCTATTAAATGTGACAGCAAACCAGTATAACAACTTATAAAATAAGCATTGAGAACAGTGCTTCCCAACCTGGGGTAAAGAGATTATAATCAAATCTGAGGGTAGAAAAGAATCAAAAACCTACTCCACAAAATTTATGTCTGACTTGTATATAAGAGACAGACATTGAAAGACAGAGTTGGATGACATGCAAAGAAGGCCCCCCACCAGGGACGCTGCAATTATATGTTTATCTTGATCACTAGACCTCCAGAATCCCCTTTAATCATTGCATCTCCCAGTTTCGATATGCATTTGCTATGATTTCACTACTTATGATCAAAAACTAGCGAGTTGACAACTTTTCTAACACAGCCAAACATCAAGCCAGTGCAACAACACAGAAGACAACTAATGTTACTTACTAGTCCAACAACACAAGACACAGCTCGCCCTCTGTCTGCAGCCTTTTATTTCACAAAGCTCTCGCTGACGCAATTTCGAGATTTACTCATGTTTTGCTCGGTCACTTTTTTCTCTTTAGCTTCCTCTGTCAACGTCCTCCTGGGTCTGTTAGTCCCTGCCGTGAAGTTTGTTAAGGCTGCTGAGCCCAGTTACATTGCCTGCTCGCCCAGCTCTGGCACAACACCAGCTCCTCACGTTAGGGGGCGATAGGACGAATATAGTGGCTATAGTCCATTGCCGGTTGTTTTTTTGGCTGACTTTTGGGGAAATTTTTGCTAATTTATTTTGGTTTGGTTGGTTTAATGGACTGTCTACAAGGAATAAAAGCTGCACAGTGATAGATGTTGAGTGGCGCAGTACACACAATGAGCCACTGAACAAGTGAGAGGAAAAACAGCTGTAAAGCCAAGTCTATTTTCACATCTAACTGTGGTGAATTAAAGGTTTGTTTCTACTAGTTTGATGACAGGGAATACAGTTCCAAGGTGATTTGCAGAGGCTCCAAACAAGACTCTAACTCCAGGGAAGATGAGGACACAGTAGGGGCAGCAGAGGGGCATGAAGTGGCTAGAGGAGTGAGGGAGGTCGGGCATCAGAGAGGGAGCGACAGCGAGTAGAGCCAGACTAATAAAGATGTTTGTATTTTTTTAAATTTCTTTTTGACATTCGGTGAGTTAATTTTGTTTATTAAAGCTATGAGAGCTTGTTGCAGGTAGAAAACTTATCTCCCAACTGTAACTACAGGCAGTCCAAACCTCTGGTAGCCATGCCAACTAGCTTAGCGGTTATTTTCTTTACAAACTAGTAAAAACTTTCTGGGCAGCAGGAAAGTCTGTAAATCACAAAGAGTTGAGGCGGAGCAGCCGAAGGACATCAGAAGGAAAACCAGAAAACATTTTTTCTATAAAATATGATCCTGTTTCACCAGAATCAGTGCCATAGCTGGTGGTGTGTGACTACTGCCGTAAGGTGCACTTGTCCCGACCGGTAGCCAAAAGTTACCTAGTGCAAGAACAGGGTGCAGAGTGGGGATGACTAAGGCAGGTAGAAATTTACATAATGGGGTTTTAAGAAGAAATAAACAATGCTTTAAAGGAGAGCAGGTTGGCTATTAATGTCAGGGTTGGTGGTTTGATCCCCAGCTGCAATCTCCGGTCTCCATTTTAAAGTATCCTTGAGCAAGACGCTGAGCCCAAATTGCTCTCCACGGCCAGGTCTGTGTTGTGCATGATGATTAAGGGTATTGTACAGTGCTTTGTTATAAAAGCTCTAAACAAATTCAGTCCATTTAGAGCCCCATCCAATGCATTTTATAGTGATGAACTGACTGAAATGAATTCATGAGAGTTGCTAAACAAACTGAAGCAGGTATTTTTGTTTTAGGTTTACTAAATGAATCTGAACTAATGCTGTTGCCTACATAAAGTCATATATTAGCCAGTGTCCTGACCAGCTCATATGGCCATAGGTTGCTGTTAAGGAATTTATCCATAAGTCTATCATCATCATCATTAAGAGCAAAAAAAATAAGTGTATCCACTGTCACCGTGCACAAACTACTCTGCTCCTGTGAAATATTTCCCAGCTGGTATGTTATAAACTACAAAACCTGTACCTTGCCAACACATTCATCTCCCTGTCCGTTCGCTCCATTTGTTTTTGCCTCTGCTTTCATTTCTCTATACGCTCTCTCTCTGTCAAGTGAATTTTCACTCTCCCTCTCTTTGTCTTGCTTGCTCTCACCTCATTTCACCTTCTCTTTTTGTCTTTTATGTGTTTCTCCCTTCAAGTTTTTCTTCTCCTATTCCCTGAGCCGCTCTCTTCTTGATCTATGGCTATTCGTTGCCTTTGCTGTTTATCTGGTGGTTTCTGTCTCTCTCTCTCTCTCCGTCTGTCTCTTTCGGTTTCTTGAACCCTCACATCTCTTTGTGTTGTGAGTTTTCTGCAGAAGATAGCCTTGTTCTACTCTTAAGATCGCTCCAACTGAAGCTTTCATGTGGAGTTTTACTTTGGGGTTGGCAGAATATATGTAAATAGAACAGAGTATATGTGGGTCTTCTTGGGAACAAGCGCGTTTGGCTCGATGTTTCCATCTGCTGCAGGGCTAAAGGCAGAGTGGAGATGAGCTCTGTTTCTTTAATAGGCTTTACAGTTTCCACCCCTCTCTCTCATCCCTGCACATCAAAAGAAGTGCACGAAAAGGGCCAATTAGGACAGCAAAAGAGCTTTATTAGGCACATGACAACATGAAGATGTATTTCTGGTTAATCCCATGCCCGAAGCATGTGTGTGTTTGTGTGTGACTGAGCATGAGCGTGTAATGA